CGAGCGCCACTCCTCCCAGTAGCAGGATAGACTGGTGGAGAGAGGGATGGGGTTATTGCTTTATTGCCAAAACCACTCTCACATCAATAACAGTTGGAATAATAGGCTTCAGAAGTTTCCCACAGAGAAACACCACAGAGTAGCACTGAAGAACAACAATAACATATCAAATGCATTGCCTTTTTTTACTGCATGATGTATTCAAATATTAAAGGGGCCGATTATGCTCATGTTCTACTGTGAAAGGTTTCCATGCTTTAATGTCCAAAAAGCTCTTTATTTCTCTCATACTGCCTGTGCTGAAACACCTCTTTTCACCCTCTGTCTGAAACCAGAGCCCAGTCTGCTCCGATTGGTTAGCTGGCCGGCTGATGTAATTGGTCATCCGCTTAGAGATGTCCTACAGATCGCCTACGATGTGTTTGAGTGCTAAATAAGTGTCACTATGTAACTTCAATAGGGAACTTTGCGCAAAAACCCATTACTACATGAGGGGAAATCCCAAAAAGCATAATAGGGCCCCTTTAAAATCTCTTACAAGTTAATTTTTCACTGTGATGGAAGAAAAGTGTTTGCCTGCTGATTAAGTAATACAGTAAATACTGTAGGACGTATCACTTTCATTCAAATGAAAAGAAAGCCCTCTATTTAATGAAATAGCTCAGTGACAAAGCTTTCAAAATGAAAGACAAATTGAAAGCTCAGTACTTGAAAATCTGAAAACCTCCAAAAGACACAACGTGTAATCTATGCTGCATATTACAGCTATCAACATGATACGATGGCATAATGTCAAAGCTAGCGAAAGAGCCATTTACAATCAAACTGAAACTTCTCCGCCAACAGCAGCACTTCCTACAGTATATAGGTCAGACAGAGGGCTTCTGTGTTCACTGTGTGCTCCTGAGGATTCACGGCTGGGGCCCATTTCCATCCTGCCACTTTTGTTTTACTCAGGGTTGACCTTTTTGTTCAGGTTTCTCAACGATGCATCACAGTGGCTGACACGCCCAGATGCTGTGGTTGTCTGTCTGTTTCATGGCACTGAGTGAACTCAATCTCAGAACAATTGAAGCCTCAAATCACAGTCTTGACAACACACTATTTGGTGAAACTATTGCTTTAAACCAACCCTGTTTAGTGTTGACTGTGAACAAATGATAGACTGGATAATCAGGTAGATCATTGGCAGACTTGGCTGCTGTATGTTGCTCTGCACAGCTAAATAAAACAGTATCCGTATCATTGCAGCAGCTACACTTCCTGGAGTTTGGCAGATCCAATCATCATATCCATAAGAAACAATTATAAATATCAAAGGACTAAAACACACAGAATAACATAATATTACAGAACTATCAGGACAAGACTATAAAAGCTTCTGATGTGTGTGTGGTAAGAGTGCCAATGTAAAAGGCGTCAAGGTGGCATCATGATAAAAGAGTCCTACATTGAGCACCGCTGACAGCTGATAATTCAACACTAGTGAGAGCATTGCATCGTGGATAATGAGCAGCCTGTCATCACAGTAAGGTTATAATAATAGTTTAGTAAGCTAGTCTAATCATGACCTCTTTTTTCTCTTCTTGTGGTGCTAACGGTGTTAGGGAAGTGACAGAATTGTACTCCGACAGCTGTTTGACCTGTATACGTTTCCACTGAATATCCTTTTAAGATGTATGTTGTTTATATTGACATTCTAGCTGTTACACACTAAGCGCCAAGAACACACAGCTGCAGCCATTATCCAGCCAATAACCACTTCCTGTATGCTAACAGGAAGAGGCTCCGATCATAGCGCAGAGCTGGGCAATAACAACTGTAAGATCATGGTACAATCATGACCTTTTCAGTCAAACTCAACACTCCCTAACATGTTCCCTTTGTTAGAAATAGGGGCCAGCTTTGCCACTAAATCATGGATTCATTTAAGACAGCAACAATCTAACACCAACACAAAGTCAAATGAACAAGTATTGTATTCCCATTTCTTTCAACATGAATGTCTGTGTACGCTGTAACATTACACTGTTGCATGTCTGGAACATGTCTTCCCATTTTTCAGGAACCATGAATCACTTCTACTCCCACTGCAAGATGGACCCACGCCTTTCTCTTATGTCTTACACCCATGTCTGCCAATTGTTTTTTACTTGGTTAGAAAATGACCCTCTCTGTCCATGTATTCCCTCTGCCCTCATTACCCAATCTCTCAGAGCCTTTTAAAAACCACAACCGCACACAAGCATTAGTAATGATGCATTTTGAAAAATGAGCAGCATTTAACAAAGTCCATTATTAAATGAATTAAAGACCATTTTTTATAATTTTAGGATGGTAAACAAGTAGCACTTGAAATGTTTGGCTCTATGAAACCTGATGTACTTATATGATTCTGTTTTCTTCAAGGTTGTGTCTTCCTGGTCGAATGTACTTATTGTAAGTCGCTTTGGATAAAAGCGTCAGCTACATGCAATGTAATGTAATAATGTAATGTAAACGTAACTATTTATCGTGCCCATGGCAACATCAACTGTTTAAATGAACTAAACAGTTAATGAACAGTTTGCACAGCATTTCTTAGGGGGATTTGAAGGATTTATTCGTTAATGTTAAACCAAACAGGTAATCCGTATTAACGCTGTGCCATCTGACACAATCAGTGGTTCTTTTTCTTTCAAACAGGATGTATGCAGTCATTTCACTGCATCATGTGGGTCAAAGGTAACAGGGTCAGGGTTAGTGTTTTTGTTTGTGTCACTTCTGAGAGGCATAACCTGCACATCGACTGAGGAGTAGCAGAAAGCAATCTGCATTAATGTGGAGACATTAAGTGCTAAACATCCTTTAAAACTATGACTGCCATATGAAAGGAAAGTACCGTGACCCAAATGTAGGGATTCTTTCATATTTATCTTGTGAAAAATATGCTGCTGTGCCCTCCCCCAGTCTTAGCTGTTCATTAGGCTGGGCAGTCTACTTATAAACCTTTGCTACCAGTTGAACTTCTATAGTTCAGACATATAGAGTAGTTAAGGGGGAAAGTCTAACTGCCTTTCATTTGCCATAACAAATACAGGTTATATTAAATATAAAGAATATGACAGTTTAGGTGGCTTGAATTACACTTTATAAAGACAGCTGGTTTGTGTCTGGCAAAGGTCAAGACGTGGCTAGAACAGCTACACTAATATATGTGTGAAAATACTAATATATGTAAGGCTGCAGATCTAAAAGTATCAACACAACAACATTCACTTTATAATCCTGTTCCAGGAAGTGGACAGTGAACTCTACACTGAAGCAAACACTGGTTGTATGCATCTATGGGATGTCTGGGAATCACAGGGTCATTTGATATGAAACAGAGGGGTCAGAGGTATTTTTTGTTACCTGTTGATATGTCCAGTCTTCTGGTCGGAAGTCACTGCTTGTTTGCTCGAACATGAAGTTGAAATGGGGAAGTCTGTGTATGATGTTCACCCACCATGGTGGGGAGTAGCTAACCACTGCTGCCATGGCGAGCAAGTCAATGAGATTCACTCACAAACAGGCAAACAAGGATGCTCGAAACTGTAAACACAGAAAGGAATCCACTTTATAAAGTCCGTCTGTATCCGGGATGAAAGACAAAAGCAGTGTTGCTCATCTAGCAAGAGAAACGAAGTTTGTAAGCTTGCGTTGGCTCGCGTTAAATATAATAAAAGTAGATCCAGTAGCTTGCTAACATTAACTAGTGGCTAGCTATTTGTCCAGGCAACCTGAAGCTAGCGTTAGTTAGCTTGTTAACATGTCAACTTAAATCAACTGTGTGTCGTTGGCGATCATCCTGTTGCAATGATAGCAGTAACCCAGCCGAGTGCAGGGGTTTCATTCACATTTTTAATAAAAAAATAAACGATTTTAAAGCTTGTTTTACCCGTAATGTAGCTATCGTTAACTCAGCTAACGTTAGCCGGTTTAGCTGCTGGTTAGTTCAGTCCGCTGAACTCGGGCACGGAGGCGGATAACAACAAGAAGTCTCTTTTGTTCCACTTTGCATTCTGGTTGTCGGTTTGTTACATCCTTTTTTCTTTAGTCGGTTATTCCTCGTTTCCTCTTTTACAGTCTTACTCCATCGCAATAGCTCAAACAAGCACGTCCGAGTTAAAGCTCAATCCAGTTATCAGTTGGGTGCAGCGAGACTAGGGAGACTGTTCACGACATTCAACCAGCTGGCTCTCCCCGGCCCGGCCCGCACACAGCCCTCCTCCCCGGCACAAAGTGACCCAACAGCGCCATCCAGAGGCTCCATAGCGAGGAGCTCATGAGGAGTTCAAGTAGTGTGGGTAATAGTAAAACTACTTGGCAACTGCATTACAGAACTAAATAGTGAATACAGCTAAGAAAGCGTTGCTATGTTTGGGGCCAGTGGCAGTCTCAGGATTTCTGAAGGGCATGGGATACAAAATAAAAAGGGCACCAACTGTATGCTCTGGTTCATAACTGGCAATATATTTTCTAATAGCCTGTATGGTTCTGCGGCTGCTTCACATTTTTTTCATCTGAATGCCACACAATATTGCATTTTCTCAGCGGTTGCGGAGCCGTAGCCTATGTGCAGTGCATTTCGTTTTTTCCACTGAAAAGTTGTTACACCAGAATGACTGCTTTAAGGGCATTTTGTTATATTTTAACTTCCATAGTGGCATCCAAGATGGAACTTTTGCTTGGTTTAATTTTTAAACGAGGGGCACCAAGGTTGGTAGCCCCCACTTCCCACAACCCTGAGTGAAAACGTGAAAAAGGGACAAGTAATGTGCATAACAGGTAGATTATAAAGCCCACTTTTACATTCCATAGGATTGTCGCTTTATACAAAATGTACAAATACCGGCAAGTCAAATTTTGAAAAAAACGATTTTGTACATGTAGTCAAATGTACCAGGAGTAATTGAAGGCAGCGTTCTGTTGTGTTCGAAGAATGAGGAAGATACAATTAAGGAAAGTTTACTTTCACAAGTGAAACATCAAATGTGTTAGTAAGACAATATTTCCAGGAATATTAGGTGACACATAGACTGCATTAAGAGAGCTACTGATTTGAGCTGCTTTGATATGAAAACAGCCTCCAGCGCGTCTTCACTCCTTTAAAACCCTAATGTTTAGATTACTGCAGAACATGATGTGCCCATTAGCTGCCTGTGAGTTCAGTTTATATTGCTTCTCTCCACAGTTGGACTTTAACCAGCGCTCACTACATCTTTAAGAAATAAATTACTTGTTTTTTCTCTTCTGCAGGAAATCACATGGAGGTGCTGTCACATGACAGTCTGAACCATGGCAGGAGAGATCAATGAAGGTACAGAGCGAAAACTTCTTATACTCCTCTTAACACAAGCTGACTTATCATTTTCGAACCACGTTGGTGTTTTGTTTGTTGTTGCATTGTTAAGCCGGTCAAACATAATGTTTCAGATGTTTTAGAAGGTTGACATTTCTGTTCGGTGGAGTCGCTATGTGAACAAACCATTGAGAACTTTTGGGTACATTAAGATCTCGAAATGAAGTTGCTCCATCTTTAACACTCTGAGGGTTTGATCTTATTTTGGTATACCTTGTTGATACTCGATGCAGTAACTATGAATATTAAAGATTATGTCAGGTTTATGGACGTTATAATGTGTTTATTTTTCTGCCACGTGAAAAACAGTCGATTGTGCATTACAGTAGGCTATAAGTTAGCACTCAGATTTATAGCCTATTGTAAATACTATCCACTTATTTAAAGCTAGGATAGGGTTACAGTTCATTTGACGGTGTCTGATTTAATTACCATAACATCATCAGAGAAAACGTTACAATATGTGTTGGGATCATTAAATAGTCATATAATGCAAATAATTTCAAATAAATTCCTTTTAAAATGTGGTAAGATCACCCTTATCTCAGTATTGAGTGCCACACATGCAAAAATAAAGTGTTATATTCAAGTGTTTTTACAAGGCATATGCTGCTGATTAAGTACTTTGGATGGTTGTGATGCTATGTAGGTGTTGTTCCTCTTTTAGGATCAGTTCCTGCCTATTACAGGGAAGTATATGAGGCCATCCGCTGTAGGACAGATGAGAGAGTGCAGGTTGAAGTTTTTCAACGGTTGCTCCAAAGGACCGATATCTCCAAGCCGGTGTTAGGCCAGGTGAGGGGTTCACACTTAAATAATCAAGAAGTTGGAGCATAAGTCTTTAAAAGCTGTTAAAAGCACTAACAACGCCACAGTAAACAACGTAAGCAACAGTAAATAACATTTTCAAATAATGACTCTGCTTCTTGTCTTGGCATGTGGCAGCTTGCTATACCTCGTGTCTAACCATCCATCCATCCATCTATCTATCCCACACTCTTTATATCCATGTATTGGCTTACATAGACTGTCAGGGTGGTAAGGGACTGGAATATAAACATATTGATATTTTATAAAAGGCTTAACAATGTGTGTTAAACACTGGGGTATATAATATCATTTTGCAAATACTGGTTTGTTTCTGATAAGATATTGTGAGTGTATTAAAGCTAACAGATAATGTGTTTCAACGTCTTATCAATAGGGGGTTGGTACAAGCTTGATGTATGCTAGCAGACTGATAAAGACATGAGTTTATAATTACAAATTATCACATGTTGTTCCTTCAATGCTGAAATATTACGTAATGCTTCAACACATGAGTGTGATGACATTGCTGGGAGTGTGTTATGTCTGTCATGTTTCAGTAGAATTTCCCTTTTCCTGACCATCAGCATATCATCGCATTTTTGTCTAGTGAGCACTTTTTGCGTAGAGGAATGCAGTTGAATTTGGATTTTGTACTGAGACGCGCCATATTGTCTTTGTCGTTCTCAGATTGCTGAGCAAGTTGACTCCACAGATGGATTCTTGAGCAAGTTGTCTCTCTATAAATTGCTCGCGTTGATTGCTCTTGCTCAACAAGGGAAGCAACCAAGCCCCAAACTTTTGGAGAACTGCATTCAAGGTAGGTGACAGTGACATAATTATACTTTTGCTTAATGAGTAGCTTGATGGTCCTATTGTGTTTGTGAAGACAACCTCAGCTATCCTGTAATATATTGCACATGAGCAGGGCACATGTCACTCTTTTATTGGCTCATATAGACTCAAGGTTTCATTCCTAACACCAATTATTTGTGACAGTTTACAACTGGGACATATCCACCATGTTTTTTCAATTCAACAGAAGTAAAGTTGGGAGTATTTAAAAAAAAAAGAAAAATAAAAGGAAATGATACCATATTGGATCATCCCATACTTTTCCTTTCTTTCACAAAAACAGAATTTACTCAACACAAGCAGTGTAAGTGTTGCATTCCTTCACTTGTCCCACAGTGGGAAGATGATAGGGGGGAGTTATATGGTTTTCATAGGGGTAGCCATTATTCTGGCCTGATTTAGATTCATTCCCAACCTTCTGTGATTATTTAAGGCTCTCTCTGTTATTTCAGGTGTGGCCAGTATGGCATCTAGCTGCATGCCACTTCCTCATCTGAGCAAGAACAAGTTTTCTGCATTCGTCGCAGTACTTTATATTCAATTCACAACCTTCATGGAACGCACAGAAAGGGTTGAATAACAAGCACAATACTGTTCTAGCTGAAGAAAAATACAGTGAGACACATCTATTGAATAGAGAAAAGTGGGTTTAACACCAGCCTTCCTCACAGTTAGGAAATACATTTTGTTTTAATTTGATTTATTCATGAAAACAATTGTGAAAAGTTGGTACTGTTTGTGTGCTTTACAGAGTTACCCAAACCTCAGCTCGGGGAGCCGCGGGAGCTGAACGCTTTGAGGATGCAGCCGGCTCAGGAGGACGTTCTGACGATGTCCCAGACGCTGGACAAACTGCTGGGCAGAGACACAGTCCAGCTGGAGCTCATACCGGAGAAGAAGGGCTTGTTCCTCAAACATGTGGAGTACCAGGTCACCAGTCAGGCAAGGGACCCCATATACCCCTCTCCATGTAAATGATTGTCTTAGAATAACCTCAACAAGAAAAGCTGAACATGTGGTGCAGTATACTTCATGTTTGTCTTACTTATTTTCTTTTCACTTATCTTTTTCATTTCTAAGTCTTGTGTGGCTTACATCATTTACTCTGTGGGTTACTTTGACTGCATGGGCTCTTTGTTGAGTTTGCAGTCGACATTAAGAAAAGTACAGATTTGTTTTCCATTGTTAGCCAACAGAAAACATAATCTTGCATGCTCCTGCCCATTATCTGATCATTTTGTTTCTCTGCTTTATCTTTTTTTAGCGTTTTAAGATTTCAGTATACCGGCGCTATAGTGATTTTGATGTCTTCCATGAGGTTTTGCTTCAGAGATTTGCCTACAGAGTGGTGCCGGCACTGCCACCTAAAAGGATGTTAAAGGGAGGTATGTAGCTGAACTCTACACTCACCATTGTATTTCTGTGATTCTACATTCCCTTCATCTTTCCTTCTGAGCCATTATTATTTCAAACATTGTTTGGGTTTATATGCCTTACTGAAAGGTCAGTTGTAAATACCCAGGTGCTTCTGGAAGCTGGGTGTTGTTTTCTGCTTGATTAAAAATGAATGTTACATTTGAATACAAACTGATCCTGCAGGCCCTTTTATTTCAAACACAGGCATTGCCATTCATCAAAGTTATTGCCTGGAAGAAACAGGGAAACTAGTGATGCGTTTAATGAGCCTGTTTCAGTTCACAGTGACTTACAGTAGTGTACCTCATAAAGGATAATCATATCAACACACTCTGATGAATATATGCTGCACACTTAATTAGACAATGTCTCAATGAGAGATCTTTATCAATTATAGAACATGTAATAGAGATGCCACACGTGGATCCGACTTAAAGCAGAATTTTTCTCAAAAGGTAAACGTTTATTGGTCAGTAAAGATTGTAAAATTATTTATATTTGTTAGGAATTAGGAATTGTATTTCAGATTGTGAATAAACTAAATGTACATGCAGAAAGAGAGCTGAATCAACACTGATGGACAGGTTTAAAACATCTTAAAAATAGATGCAGCAGAATAAAACACAGTGGTTCTATAACAGATATATATATATATATATATATATACATTATTTGTCCTTGTCCAAACTCGGTGCTTACATTACTAACAATGCAACTTGTCCACCAATAGGTCAACTGAGGATTTGTGTGTCTTATGTTGGAAGCAGCTAATGTAGCCTGAAGCTGCTAGCCTCAGGCAGAGATAATGAGCTACAGAGGTCACATGTTTCTTATTCAACAGCCCCAGATTACTTTCATTTTCATACTCGTAAGGCAGTGTAAGGCAATACATGGATTTTGAGCAGCTCCCTTTGGAGCCACAAAGGCTGTATAAACCTTTGTTTCTCCAACCCAACTGACTTTAAACATGAATGTCACTAGGGCTGTCACCTGTTAGTTAAAAGGCTAATTTGTTGTTTTTTCTCACTTGATTAAGATTTCATTAGTTGCTTATTTTTCTTTTAGTTTTCATGCTGAATGATTTATCTTGAGAAAGTTATAAGCACATTTCTGGTAAACACAAGATTTAAAGTGGTGCCTTTTTGTATGATTTTTTTTTGGTGGAGAAAAGCACCGATCTGTCAATTAAATAAACAAATCGATTGGTCGGCAGAAGCGCATGCATGTTACTCCACTAGGAAATGTTTAAGACGAGGAAAACCTTGGATGTTACATTAGTTTATCATGCTCATGGTCTTTACTTTTTATATTTAATTACCCCAACACCTCTAACGCTCCTGGTGTGCTCTCGTGCTGTTTTCTCTGCTCTCGGTCCACAGTCCTGACCTCTGTCTCTGAGCGGGAGTTCATTGAATGCAGGAGACGTGCTCTTGGAAGATTCATTAACCTGGTGGCTCGGCATCCCTTCTTCTCAGTGGACGAGCTTGTCAAGACCTTCCTCACCTTCAGTGGCTCTGTATGTGGTATTTCTTAAACTAGCTGCCTCGGCTGAGACACTGTCTGTTGCACAATAAGCATTATCTTGAAGATGATTGTGTAAAATGCATCCTGTTCCATTAACTAGTGACCTTTTCCACTCACACTCCTCACCCGTCTTCCCACACAGGATGTTCAGAGTAAGCTGCGTGACGCTTACAAAAAAACTGGTGATGAGTTCATGACTAACAGAATTGCAACCTTGGCCAAGGTTTGTCACATGTACCACGCAGACATCCTGACATACGTTTCTCAATACATCATGCATATTTTATTTAAGTTTGTTGCATCTGTTTTTGTAGGAATATCTCCCCGCTGATATTCAGGCCCAGTTCTCAACAAGCCGAGAGCTGATTCGAAATATTCACAACAGCTTCCAGAAGCTGCGGGACAGAGCTGAGAAAATGGCCGAGCGCTCTAAGGAGAATGCAACTGATCTTCTCATGTTTGGCAGAGAGCTCAGGTATTTCATTAAAATGGGTAAAAGTCTGTCCAGAGGTTTTGGGTTGTGAAAACAAATGTTAATAAGAACCCAAATCCTCCGTGTTGTTGTGCCACTTCATGGTTGTTAGTTTGAAATGAGTTTGGCAGCTAAGACACCACAATGCTACATCCTTGCCCGGTAATAATTTGTATTTTTGTGACAGTACGCTGGGCTCCGATGGCTCGTCTCTTCCCTCCTTGGCCTCTTCACGAAGCACCTGGGGGACTCTGCGTCAGTCTCTGAAGAGTCTGTCGGTGGAGTTTGCTGTGCTATCTGACAAAGCTGCTCAGCAGGTACAGCCCTCAGTCCTTCATCTGGAGCACCTGCTCTGCTCTGCATGTCCAAAACTGGCACTGGGTAAAAACAATTGTTTTGCTTCTGTCCTCAGGGCAGACGGGAAGAGGATGATGTTGTGGAGAAACTAAATATTTTCTTGGATTTGCTGCAATCGTACAGAGTGAGTCAGGTTTATGTTTCTGCTCTGCTCATTTAAATTGAGTCCACCTCCAGGGACAGGTGATTTTTGCTTTTATGATGCTTACTTTAAAAAAACAACTAGAAAATGGTTTGTATCCACCAGGGCTATAAAAACAATCTCCTGTTTACTGGTAGAAAGACACAATTTAGAGCTGTATTATTCGTAAATCTATGTTCCAGTGCCAAACTGAATTCAGGATATTATGTAATCATTTATTTTAATAACGATGCACCAAGACCCAACCAGCCACTTGAAAACATAGTTCTTGTAGTGGGTGGTTTGCAAAGATCAAACAAGGGGACAGGTGGGTAGATAAAGTGGCATTTTCTATAGCCTCGATTAAATCCATTAACTGTAATATGTATGCTAATTTCACAGTTTCTATTTTTTACTTGTGTTATGTATCACTGTTATATATTATATTTCCCTGATATCTTGAGGCAAATAAGAAGAGTTTTATGTCACTGTGTTTTCCCCCTTTAGGATCTCTGTGAGCGACATGAGAAAGGCGTGCTCCACGAGCACCAGAGAGCTCTGCACAAGTACGGTATGATGAAGAGGCAGATGATGAGCGCCTCGGTGCAGCCCAAAGAGCAGGCGTCTGTGGAGCAGCTGGAGTCACGGATCGTTCAGGTGATCAACCTCTTTATGTTTCTCTGTGTTCACACTTTGGGACTAACAGGATGCCTCCTGATTGATAGCGTACGGTTTTACTTCAGTACTTGATAAATAAAATGCTACATTAGCCTGATCTATAACTTATAAAACTCCTCCCAAATGTCCTTATCTTCCGTTCCACTGGATACTCCCATACGTGCATAATAAATAAACAACCATGGGTATTCAAAAGTACACTTTTTTTTTTAAGGCCGCTTGAAATAAAATGTTGGTATAGTACAGAACAGTTTTGGTAAATTATCATAAAAAATAATAGATGTTATCAATCATTTTTACATTTTAAAAAGCAACCTTATTGCAATTAAAATCCTAATTTCCATGTGTACGTATTTGAAAGATTGATTTAAGACATTTGAATACCACCTTATTTGTAGTTCAATTAATTCAATTCCGTTTAAGACTTTTTTGGGATCTGTGGGACCCTGACAAGTGAGATTAAATAGAAGGACTTTTATGTACAGTTTTTTTTACCCAAAAATGCTTACACTATTTCATTTTCAAGTTATAAGGAATTCAATCTAATACAAAATATTTTTCTATTGAAGGTTCAGATGTATGCATCTAATAAAAGCTGCCATAAACTTAAACTAAAGTTTAAGCGTCTTTGAGGACTGGGAAAAGTGTTTTATGTATTATTATTATTATAAACTGATTTAGGCCTAAGCAGTAACTATCTAACTACTGAGTTTAGGAAATGTGCACATTATCGCATAGAATTGGGCCTGGTTTCCAACCGTTTGAGAAAACTCCCTTTACATCCACTAAGATTGGCTGCGCTACGTTATTCCAAAAAGGTGGGTCCTCTGACCTCTACACATCTTGGAAGAAGCCTTGCTAGCATCTCCCTGAGACAGTACTTATGCACAGAGGTTAGCTGATTGGTAATGTCAACATGCTCATACTGAAAACGCTAACATGCTGATGTCTTTAATGTTTACAATGTTCACGATCTTAGTTTAGCATTTTAGCATGCTAACATTTGCTAATTAAAACTAGACCACTGAGGCTAATGGGAATGTCATGGGTTTTCAGGTAGGCTATTCACGTTTTACTTTGAGGTTAGTCCAACTAAAACTAGCATGGCTAAAAACAGATATTAGTAACAGTAAAATAATATGCTAAGATGAATGCATGCCAGCTTGCTTGTAATTCTACATGTCTTTGCATTATGCTGTAACTTCTTTGAGACTCCTTCATCAGACGGACACCAGTGTTGGTGTCAGTTACAGTGACTGAGTTGGTGATGAACAGGGTGAGGCAATAGGTCAATTGTAAATCAAATAAAGAGCCAATTTAAATGTAATGGGATGATTCATGGCCTCATCTCATCTCTGATGTCAATGGAGTGAAACGTCCCCACATAAAACTCTATTCTCTCCTCTTTTCCTACTGATTATTATCATAATTTGATAAGTGGTGACTTCCCAATTACTCTTTTTATTATTCTGTTAATAGCAAGAAAACGCCATCCAGACCATGGAGCTGCGTAACTACTTCTCCCTGTTCTGCCTTCATCAAGAGACGCAGCTTATCTTCATCTACCTTCCCATCACTTCTCACATTCTGGGGGCTTTCGTTAACTCCCAGGTCCAAGGACACAGAGAGGTGAGGCTGCTTGTCTGGAAATCATTTTTCTACAGACGCTTCGGCAGGGTTATATCAGTTTTAAATTGGCTTTCAAAATCCAATGAAATAACTAATGTTGATGGATGGTATCAGTGGAAGGATACTCTCTTCATGTAGTATTTTAGTTGGCTTGAGTTTCACAGGAAGTTAATCCCACATATTCCTTTGTCTGACTTTAAACTCAAATAAAGCAGTTTGGATTTATTTGGATGTCTATCTGACGCCTCAAATTCCTTTGAGAAGGTTAAAGATATTTTTACTTAGATATACTAAACTGATTTCCTCCAAACCCCATAGCAACATTTGATTGTTTATTTTTATTAGGAAGATTAGCTTCATCGAACTGTGAAGAGTGAAGAGAAGTTACTTTTTGCTTTCTTTCCAGATGGGAGCGGTGTGGAATGAACTCCAGCCAAAGCTCGGCTGTCTCTTTGGGGGTAATAACGAATCGAAGCCTCCCATCTGAAACCTGAACGCACGAGAGAAACTCTGCCGCTGAAGAGGATCCCAAACTGGAAAATAACTCGCTCTGTGTGCTCAAGAAAGTCTCTTATAACTCAATATACATTCCATTTAATACGAGTATTTCATTATGTAAATGAGTTCTCAACTTCTCAGCTTATTTTGGGATTTGATCATCCACCATGTAACTGGAAAATACAGTGGGCTCATACATCTGTAATTTTATGCTTTGCTTGATGAGGAAATAATGTAGGAAGGAAAATCCTCTAAAAGGGATTTTACAAGGGACCAGTCAGCATTTAGGAAGTGAGGGATGCCATTATATTCATGCTTAACTCGTTTCCTTAAGCACCTGTTTATACCTTAACCTTTGAAGAAGTTATATACACTAAAGAAGAGAACATGAGAGGGACATAAAAGTTTGACTTTATTAAAGAATGGGATTATTGTAGATCTCCAGTCATGAAGGCTTTACATACTAAAAAACATCAGACCAATGTATTTTTTTGAGCAGCCTACTTTATATTTGTTATGGACAAGTGTGCTGTTTCTCTTACTTTACAAGTGTTTACTTTTATGTGGAGCAACATATTTTCTATCTCTCCCTGTTTAATTTCATAAGCTATTTTGAACAACCTACACTCAAAATGTATAATACTACAAAGGGCAGAGACTTAAAGTTTATTGATTAAAAAATAGAAGTTTAAGCACTAGTGGCCTAATGTCAATAATAACGCTATAAGCTATTGATTTACTACCAAAGAGAAATGATATAAATTCCAGTTGCGATGCAATAGAAACTGTAACAATTCGTATTCGAACATTAAATAATTGCCACTGGAATTTTTTTGATCAAACTACTTGGCTATGGAGGATATTTTTTCACAATTCTATTATAAATCCTAATTTAAAAGTGTGTTACTATGTGTATAAGGGCAAACAGTCATATTAGGCTCTCTACTTTTCAGATATTTGTCATGAAACCCGTAATGCACATTAATATCTGTACACAACATTATGTATTATTCTAATGGGGCAAATCGAAGGGACACTTATATGGGCTCACGTTACCTCACAGAAACTTTTATTTTATGATTAACTATAAAACAGTATGAAACACATTTGTTTTGTCAGGAAAGAAGAATCAGGTTTACTAACTTGCACAGAATATGAAATCCAATCGAATTATACCTGTAGATATTGTAAATACTTTATGAAACAAAGCCTTGCTAAATTGTGTTGAATCACTTATACTGAAAATAAAATAACAGAATGAATATTTCTGTCAATATACTTCTGCTTTGATTGTTTTTTATTTATCATTGAAAAAATAAATCAGTAACATTTTACATGTAAAACTCTCCATGTGCGAGGTTTAGTCCTCAGAGTCTTGCTGTTTCAAAGAAGACATTTGGAAGCCCAATTCTTGTTGTCGCAGTCATAAATGTCCTCAGAAACACAGGATGTCTCACAGTTCCTCCACTTCCTCCAGTTTCTGGCTGAGGATCACATCATGACCCTGAAACTTAAAGTATCCGACAAATTTCTTCTTCTGGAACATCAGTGGGAACCACAGGATGTCATCAGCCCACATTTCACTGAAGGGAATCTGGTCACTATCAAACCACTGAGGCCGCATTTCTAAAAACAAAAAAGGAAAAATAATTACTCGAAGCCAACATGTACATCCTCTACCTTGAGCTGTTAGAGGGGGGTCTGAATAAATGACAAACGCTTATCGCTATTATTTTTTAGCCACTTTCAAACTTTTTAAAGGCTGGCTGGAAATAATACTCACATATCTATAGGTTTATTTTTAGCTCAATGCAAATGTAGCAAAAATATAGGGAGGAATCCATGTCTTCATTGTTTGGATAAACAAATCAAAGTTGGAATCGTATTAAGTACATTTTAGTGAAAAAGCGGCTTGTTGCTTTTCCCTGCTGAGTTGCAGTAAAAGGATAGTAACACGCTAGAAATGTTGCAGTTAATGAGCACTGTGGATTTGGTCCTATAGACAAATCACTTTTAAATTGCACAAAAATACGTAAAACAATGAACATACCCTTTCAGTGTCATTGCCAACAATTATACAGTATATATGGATACATAGTTATGTTTGTTAAGAACGGGATAAACAAACCACCAGATTTAAAAGTGTGGACATTTCTAAAATCCATATTTTTCGTGTTACTTTTAAAACAAGACAGAACTTTTCCCAACTTAAAAAACATGTGTCTTTGTTTCTCCTTGAACTATAATATGTAGGTAACTTTTTCTATCCGCGCTCTGGATGAAATCCTTTCTTTAACATTACCACTTTTGAAGAGGTTTCCTTCTACGTCACCTGTTGCTTCCTACCTGAATATATCAATTCAGTCACCAGCTCCAGTGTTTTCACTAACTTCAGCACATTTAAATGAAGTTGTTTCCTCCCTTTATCTCTGCGCCCCTTGGCTGTATGACTCTTCTTGAACTCCAGACTCTATTTATTTGACTCATCACTGTGTCTGTACTCTTCACCCAATCGACCTTGACTAAACTCTCAGGAAATAAAGATCACTGCAGGTCTCTGCATTCCTTCTGTACAGGGCCTCTTGTTTCCTTCATTCAGTTGTTTCTAACTTCACCACTGATATTCCTGCCCTTAACTATTGTGCTGTCCCTGCTCAAAGTCATGTCTGTGAAGAAGTTCCCAGAAGACGGTTTGAATCAATTTACTTAGAAGGATCATTTTGGTGTGGTTTAAAAAGTTGAACTGAAAACTTTTTCTCAGTTGGCTTTTAGATCTAAACTTGACCTACGAAGACTGGCGGTGAGATAACAAAAAAGGAAGTCAACATTAAAAGGAACCAAAAGGGATTTTTTTGTTGTAGGAATACAGTTTTTTTAAACATGAGTTACTTAGAATAATGTGCAACAACAATGTGGAGTTCCTCTTCAACTCAAGTGCATGATCGGTTATGAAGGTAAAAAGTGGCACTTCTGTTCCCTTACAGCATAGCACTGATTTCTAACTCGTTATCCTATCATAATTTGCATGCATTTTTTAGATGGAAACTGTGTCATTCCAGTTATTCCGCATTGTTGTAGTGGAAGTCATACCTTCTGACTCTGTTGGCTCTCCATTATAACTGTCAGCTCTGAAAACATGGACATCCATCAGCTCCGTTTCTCCAACAAATTCAAACTTGAGGTTTCCCACCTTCTCGAGAGCGTCCACCGTGAGACCGCTTTCTTCTTGCAGCTCTCTAAAAAGAAAACATCCAATGAATATTTTATGAAGTGTGTTTTAAAAATAATCTCACAGTACACTTCACACAAACAGAAAGGGTCTATTTGTATGTGGCTCACACAAATAGACAGCATTTCGTTTTTAGAGTCAACTAAATTGGCTGACCTTTGAGTTTGAAAGATCATTTTGCCCTGAATTCAAATCTCAGCCACTCAATATTTTTTTGAGTAACTTTACATATTTATGGCATGATATTTTGTTGTATATGTATGTTTCTTGGACAATTATTTTACATTTTAATTATATTTCCAAACACTAACGTCAAGCCTGCTTATTGTTAACACTTAAAATGTAAGAGTTTCATAGTAAATAAGAACTATGATTAGTCACTTGCTTCTGTTGAAAGGCATTACCAACATAGCCTTAAGATATTTCTTATTTATGTAGCCTTTCTATAATCTTTACACAAAGCAGGTCTCTTTTTCATTTTAAGAGAGGCCTGATTGCCTTCCTTCCTTTGGAACAAACTTCCTGCTGATGACTGATGAACACACACACAGCTTTTTTTCTTCAATGCTCCCCTCAACACCACACTACTGTTGTCTAATGCTGTTACAATAAAACACTTGTGTTGTTTGATTTGAATTGGAAAACACTGCGTCATATCTTGTGTTATGTTCAGTGGTAGACTATAACTTAGTACATTGACTTTTATGTAATGCAAAGGAGAATTTTGAGGTACTTGAACTTTACTTGAGAATTAAATATGCTTAAGATATACTTACACTACAACCTTGAGGTTAATTTTGTACAAATGTAGTATACATACTACACTACATTTATTAAATACTTGTGATACTTTGAAGATTCAGATATTATAATAATTAATTATTATAATAATAATAGATTAACAAACAATGTATTGAGTATTATTACAGGTTAAGATACACTTATATTGATCTATATATGTATAATATACATATATATTGAAAATATAAAATTAAATTGAGTACTTTTACCTTTTAATTCTAATTTTGTTGCGTGTTTACTTGAAAGACAGTATTTCTACACTTGTAGCACTACTTTTACAGAAGTAAAACCTCTCTTTACAATAATGCAAGTTAATAATAATAATAGGTGTTATGATTGATCAGTGAAATGTATTGTGAAATTAATTCAATATAATTAAACTTTTCATTTCCTTTAACAAACCCTATAAGAAAACTTAAAGGTGGGGTAGGTAATTCACTTCAGAAACACTTTTGTTATATTCCATCCCGATAGCAATTAATACATTAAATGCTTTGACAATAAATACTTTTTTTTTTTAAATCATCTGTGGAAGCCGTAGTACTGTAAAAAGCACCACCAATTATTTTAGCCGGCCCGGCTAAAATAACTGGATAGCCTACCTGCCTGTCAGCCTTCCATCTCGTGCACAAACTTATCTCGTGCCCTCATTGGTCATGTGCGCGTTCGTGTGTGTTGGAGGAGGGGCTCTGTAAGAAAGTGGCAGATTTTTTTCGGCTGCGTAGTTTCAAATTCATTCAGCTGGTTTCTCCATTCTTACTTACCCTACCTTTAACTGAAATATGCTGAAACAGCTTTGTTTTTTTCAAAGATTGTACTTCAAGAGAATATAGCATTTTCTATCATTAGCTTTTTTCATTCAAGCTTTTTCAAAACTACTTTTGTGGTGTTGACATTGGTGAACTGCTTTGTGTAGAAGGTTGTCAACACAACATCAATTGGCGCGATAAATGTACCTCCTTGCACCCTCTTCAATAGTTTCTCCAGGTTGAACCTTTCCCCCAAAACCGTTCCACTTCCCGGCCCCGAACCCCCTCTTCTTCATGCCGAGCAGCACCCTGCCCGGCTGCACCACCAGAACCAGGGTCAGCAGCTTGGAGCTCAACATCTCCCCTGCCTGAGGAGGAAGTGAAACACAACGTGAACCTGCCTGAGGCAAAACTCGCTGCTAACGCTGTGCTGTGTGAGCTCAGCCTAACTTCCTCACCTGATCAATGTCTGCTCTGTAAACCCAAAAAGTCAGGAGAAAAAATAATATCCTGTATCAAATCAGGACTAATGACTCCCTACAAAGTGGTCAGATGACGCAGATGTGTAAAAGCACGGATTGGTCTAATCAACATCAGCCATGTGTTACATTAAAATATGATCGACTAGAAACGTGTGCCAACGTGTGTTGTAGAAATATATATACATATATATAGAATATGAATTACACAAGGTGTCAATATAATGTTATGTTACTTATGTTGAAAATCAAATACAAATCTGATTCCCTTTGGTATTTTTCACAACAGTCCCTTAATAGAAAGTGAATTTATTACAGTATTGTTTAAGAGGAGATACATTTTAAAAAGTTTTACATATTCTGACATTTAGCTGAAATAAACCAAACCACCCAAGTAGGAACTATTATTGTGAGTGTTTTGCAACGGGGGACATATAAGTATGACGCACAGTGTTAGTATTTGACCAATGGCGTGCTGTATTTCCACGCATGCGCAGTTTACCGTACGCTTTGACCCTCCACAGTAAAAACATGTGGGGTTTCTCCTTCCAGAGGAGATTCCTCCACTCTTCTTTATGTTTAATGAAGAAGTTAAAGAAGAATAAAACTGCCGCCGAGCAGCGCTGGTTGCAGCGGCAGCTCAAAGACCCGTATGTCAAAGCTTCTCACAAACAAAACTTCCGGTGCAGAAGTGCCTTCAAGCTGCTGGAGATAGATGACAAGTTCAGACTGTTACAGCCTGGATGTAGTGTGGTGGACTGCGGAGCTGCCCCTGGAGCCTGGAGCCAGGTGGCCGTGCATAGGGTCAACTCAGCCGGGACAGGTGAGAGGGGAGAAACAGGTGGACAAAATAACAGGGATGCAAAACTAAAGCAGTATGTAAAGCACACTCTTCAGGTTTTATTAAGGCTATGTCAAAGAGAATGATTCAACTCTTCATTATGCTGTAGACTAGTGTGTTTCCAGTTCATTTAAAATGCTGTAGATCTTGGGACACCCTGCTTTTAATTATCCTTGACAAAGGTGTGTTAGAGAAGTTGTTGTACATGATTTTTAATTGGTGAATGAGCTTTTGTTTTTGAACCCATTACTGTAACATTTGTAAATGTCACAAGTCTTTTGGTTTTTCCATACGACTGCAATAATCTGGGTACAGGAATTAATATAACTGGAGACATTTTGGCATATTTTTTTATATATTCAAGTGTATTGTCCAAGATAAAACCCCAAAGATATTCAATTTCATACGATATAAAAAACGAGAAAAATAGAAAATCTACATTTTATTTTTCCATTTTTGCTTGAAATAATCCTATTATAAATTACAATGAATCGACTTAACATTGCAGCTTACCATCAAATATGATGGAAGTAACCCAATAAAACATTCACGTTCCACATAAATATCTCTGTGTTAATTACAGATGTAATGTTTTCTTGCATACTAGATCCAGCGGCACCACCTGGTACAGTAGTTGGCATTGATCTGCTGCACATACCACCTTTGGATGGCGCCCACTTCCTGTCCTGTCATGATGTCACCGTCTCCCCCACCCACGCTAAGCTGCTGGAGCTGCTCCCAGGCGGTCAGGCTCATGTCATCCTGAGCGACATGGCGCCCAACGCCAGCGGTTTCCGGGAGATGGACCATGTGAAACTCATCACAATGTGTTTTTCTTTACTAGACCTGGCAGAGAAGATTTTACTGCCGGAGGGCTCTCTGCTTTGTAAATACTGGGACGGCATCCTCGCTCATGAACTCCAGGAGAAACTCTCGAGAGTATTTAACAGTGTTCAGACTTTAAAGCCGAACGCCAGCAGGAAGGATTCAGCTGAGAGATATTTCCTCGCTAGAATTTACAAAAAGCCAGAACAATTATCCTAGTTGTCTTGTAGTCTTCTGTGTGTCTTAAAATGATGTTTTCTGGAGATTCACAGCCTGTGTTTTTTTGACGAGTGAACATGAAGAATATACTTTGATCATAAGATGGCACTGTTGAGGCATCAGTGAGACTCACAGCTGCAGGCACAGACACAATACTGCTGCTACTGATCTTTATCCATGCAAACTTGTAGCAGAAGGGAATCAGTAATATGGAAACCTATGCAAGAAACATCAATGTGATATTCCTCCAGAGCCCAATGCTGTGTTTTTCTCTGAAGTTATTGTTTGCCCCACAGTGTTTGTTCTACACAGTCGGTTTGGCATTTGCTTTGTTACAGAAATCCATTTACCAGTGCTGCTTATGCTAATAATCTGCACTGTCAGTCATGTAGAAACATGTAATCATTCTCTCATTGAGAGCTTATGATGGGACAACCTAATACAGAGTCACATACAGCATGACTAATGGGAAGTGGGATGAGACTGAAGCTTGGCATGCCGAGTGTTGTCGAGCTCTGCTGTCTGACAGTGCAGAGATGTACGTTTCCTGTGAAAGTTATTACAGCCCAGTTGACAAATGTTCTTTTAAGAATCTTCTGTAAATCACTGTGTTGGACACTTTTGAAAGTACCATTTATTTTTTTTGTGTGTCTTCGCTGTTGTACACCGCTTTGATTCTGGTCTGACAAGAGTTCAGAACAACTGGCACTGAAATGATGTTTCTATCATAGCTGCAGTTTAAAAGACAACTCCTATTTAATGTATTTGTATTCACAGTACCTTGGAAATAAAAAAATGTCTACAATTTCATGAACACAATTGTTGTTCTTCACTTGCAGTTCAATAACTCCATACACCAGGGGCATAGCACATGCCCATATTCCATCTCAGTGACCTCCTTCCTTTTTAAATACATCATTTCTCATGCATGTACAAATCATTTCTTGTGTTTATGCTTAAAATAGGTTCTGCTTTTAAGATACAAAGTACTCAATGATCTGAAATACTTAGGTCTTCTATTGAGCGTAAATATAATTATATTTTTTCCTGTTTTTTTAAGTCTTTAATACAACCTAAGCATGGGAAAGCGTTACTGTATTTTACTCCTCTGTCTTTAAAAAGTATTTTGTTACCAGCCGTTTTCCCTCTATTATTATTAATGTCTTGCTCTTCTTTGTAAGACATGATTGCCGGAAAGTCTCTGAATTCCCCCGCAAAAGCATGCAATTACTGTGGTTTGACCTTATTGCTATTGGATTAAACCATCTGCAGCCCGTACAGGTGGGGAGAGCCCACAAGAGGCTCCAATATTTGTTTTAATACACACAATACATCTGTTTATTTATCTGATAATAATTGACTAATGAGACAAAATATTTGAAAAGATTGCAGATGGAAACTAACTTTAATTCCAGGCTTCTTGAATCACCTCCCTGTGTTTAGGCCTCCAGTAGTTTCTTCCACAATTCCTATGAGACTGAGAGACCCCTGCTGCCATTTACAGATTAATAATAGGCCTGATAAGCACTTAGAGGGTGTTATGTGTTAGGGGTGCTGTGCAAAATACCTGTAGGTAACCTTTTGAGAAGTGTTGATTATACATACATCTGTTTTGTATACAGAAAAGCACTTAAGTTAAACATTGAACTTTATAGAAGTCTATATGTATTTAAGCTAAATTGGTCGTTTTTTTTATTGTTTCCTTGAATACATGTTCCTTATAGTATGAATTGCAACTCTTATGAAAATGAACTCCTTCAAATTATAAATAATATCATAAATTATTGTTAATGAAATCAACGTATTCCTAAATAGATTTTCAAAGTCTGATGGGGAATAAATGAAAATTAGAAGCTTAATCAAGACTGGATTTGCATTTATGGCAGCAAAGGAAAAGATGGCGCACATGAATAAATTAATAGGGCGGCTATTTAGCCTTTCTGTCTCAGGAGTAATGAGTAACACAGTGTGTCTCTTGGTTAAATAAACTGCATATAAAAGGGGGCTGACCTCTAAATAGGGTTGTTTGGGATGAATGGGAGCATCTGTACCTGTCGATGTAGCTGATAGTGAAAGGTGTGAACAGATGACCAAATTAACTTCTCATTACCCATCCCGTATCTATTTGGATTCAAATTATTCCAACATTTCTATGGGATTTATGTTAATTCCACCGGGGCTGAGAATAAATGATGATTCATTCGCAGGTTAATACATTTTTCTCTGGCCAGCTGCGAGATGAGTAAATTAAGAGGGAAAATATGCTAGAGAGCGGCAGATTTTAAATTCAGATTTGGCGCTGAGAGGCTGTTATTTACATCTATAATGGTTGTCATTTTTGAAAACAAAAAACTCTTTGAACTGATTTTTGTTTTTGTCCAATGCTTTTCAGGCTATCAAAGGTAACACTGGCTGATACAGGTATGACCCCCAATACCCAACAATACCCTTTATATTTAAGATAACTAATTAAAAGCTGGTAAAATAAACCCAGGTTCCTTCTTCTGTCAGTTTAGGTTTAAAGGGATGAAAATGAGTATAATCAGCTGCCACTTAGTGTCACCGTAAACGTTTTTTACCTGGGAATTTGTGTGCATAAACAAACAGTCTTCGGGTGGAAGGTGTTTCTTTTTACAGGTTATTATGAATACAATTGTGTTCACTCGAGTGACTTTCCTAATGGAAACATCTGCCTCGTCCTGTGTGCTTTGTTGTATTTGCTCAGGAGATAAAGGCCTTGCAGAATACATGAAATTAGAAAAGCCCAGAATTGATTTGTTCCCCCGCCTGCAGGCTTTTATTGGCTAAATAAACAAAGGGGTGGCTTATGTTAATATCTCCTTACAGCTTTTGTAATTTACTTTAACAATATATTGTAGTGAGAAAATAGACAAACAATGTTACTCTTACTATACAACCTGTGTGTCGTTTATTAACACAGGCAAAACAACTTGGTAACAACTCAGAAAAAAGGAACATAAAATAAAAGCTTGTGTTTAAAGGGGACCTATTATGCTAATCATCAAGTTTATATTGTTATATTTTCGCTATTCTGTGACATGTCTCCATGCTTTAATGTTCAAAAAACTCTTTATTTTTCTCATACTGCCTGTGCTGCAGCACCTCTTTCCACCCTCTGTCTGAAACCAGAGCCCAGTCTGTTGTGATTGGTCAACAGCTTCGATGGCCTATCAGGTACAATGTGTGGAGCGCTAGCCAATAAAAAAGCGAGTTTGACGTAGTGGTGTCACTTAGTCGCAGATGTAAACAAATGAGTCCAATGGAGGCAAGGGAGGAGGTGTGTGATAGAGAAACTCCTTCTGGGTGGAGCTTTGGGATTTTAGCCTTTGCAGACCATCGCCATGCACAAAAAGCTTTATAACACACTACAAGAAAAAAAAAAGAAGCATAATAAGTCCCCTCCGACCAAAGATAATGGTGAATTATGTTCATGAGTCTGTTGCAATATAACAGATATCTCTTCTGTCTGCAGTTTGCCTTCATACATTTTGCTCCATCAATACAGAAACAAACATTCTCTCACAGGAAATTAAAGACAATTGTGATATCATTTCTAACCATTGTGCCATTCATTCCCTCGGCTGACCTGAGCTGCCAAAAGGCATTGCTCCTCTGACAACATTCATCATTCCCTGAACTCGGCCCCGAATGTTAGCACACTGAGCCAAGCAGGCGCTCACTGACGCAAAGCAATGAGTGCTATTATGATGATGATTTCATACCATCTTCTCAGCTAAATGAATCTCAAATCTGAGGACGGTACGACAATGCAAACTCTTTTTTATTGATGCCACTTCCAGTTTACGATGTCGATGTTTTGGCAAGTCATTTGACATAATGACACTGGGACGTTTCCCCGTAAACAACCAAGTTTCTCATGTGGGAGTTGAAAATGAAGCATGCAATTAAAATATTCATGCCTGTTCAAACATGATGATGGAGTCACGGCGTTCCAGTGCATCTCACAGTGCATCTCACAGTGTGACTTATTCAAGTTTTACCCAAAACTTTCAGGTACTTTGTTTCTGCATCTCTGAGGGTGTCATACAAAAGGGTTGTCAGTGAATAGTCTAGCAATCTCCTCTTGATCTCTGCTTTTTCGAGGATGCGTCAATCCTGCAGAAAAATGTCAGGAACATTATTGCAAACAGGGTGAAGCATTGTTGTGGGAGGAGGGTCAAAGGGACAGGGGAGAAACAAAACACAGGCTACGGAGAACAAACAAAGCACAGGTTGCACTCAGTGGCTCCATTTTCCATCCTCATATCAGCAGAGCCTGACATTTACTAGCGGGTATGGAAAGTGAGTTCAGATGAAAACTGAAAGCTAATGACCTCATGTTAACATTCTCACTGCCAATGTGGATTTCCTTCAGGTATGTGTCAGACTTATTAACTTTGCAAGATATTGGAAAAGAAGAACGTCTGTCTGGCAGGGACGGAATTAATGTGTGCTAGAGGAAAAGGGAGAGGGGGATGGGGATTATATAGTTCCTTATATCTGCACTATAATTCCATCTTCGTTATCACCTTCAAACACTTTTTCACAGTGCATTTTTTACTACATTGATGAACTGCCTGGTCACTATTTGTAATTGCAGTACTTACTTGTGTCTAAGCTGATGAAACGTTATGGCTTTAAGTGGCAGTTCTCAGTGTTGCTGTTATCCCTCTGGAGATCATGAATAATAAGGCTTCATTATAATATAAATCCTTTGAAGATCTGAAATAAAGAGCAGTTATCAGGCTCTGTAAACACTTATCTTATGGTAAGCTCTTAATATCGTCCTATGCATCAGCTAATGAGAAGGGATGATCTGCTACACCATCTTGTTACTTATAGACATCATTTATAAAACCAGATGACTTGTTTGGTCAAGATACTGATCAGTTGATCTTACAACCCTTTTGTAGTGAGTGGAAGACAGTGGAGGTTAGGGTTCAGTCCACATAAAAAAAACAAAACAGATTTGAACTAGAAAAGCTTGACTCTTATTTGCAGCAAACCATGAAGCAGTGTCATTACGAATGCAACTTTATCCTGCAATGCGACTTTTAATCATCTCATCATCATCATCTCATGGATAATGCAACAAGTCCTCCATCTCATACGACCAAATAGGTCGATTGTTCAAGCTCTTATTACGACCAAATAGGTCGTTTGTTCAAGCGCTTAATACGACCTACAGTATAATCACGTTTTAAAGTTTTCGACCTCTAGTGCTCACGTTGATTGCAAACGTTACAGAGGGTCGTATATGTGACTCTGGGTCGTAATAAGCTGCTGAACAATCGACTTATATGGTCGTTTTTTGTAGGAGGACAGGCTGGATAATGTTAGTGGAGTCACGGCAGTATGTCAACTAAGACTTTAAATGATGCATTACATCTCTTTTAACTCTCCTTCAAAAATTCTTACAGTTATATTTATATTATTTTTTTTAATATGTATTACGTTTTGTAAGTTGTAAACAAGAAGGATTCCATTCAAATGAAATACATACAGCCATTATTATGAAAGTATTTAGTTATTATAGTCTCATCTTTTTTTGTTAGTGTGACTTCAAGGTGAAATAAAAGTGTAAAGTTAGTGATATTGGGCTGTATAAATAAACTTGATTGATGAAAATGTTAATCTAATTTAATTACTTCCAATTTGATTTGATTTGATTTGAATCCAACTCAACCACATTGTACAGATTTACATATCATATCGTACATTCTATTCAGAAGGCAACAAAGTGTCTGACACCTAAGATTTGTACATCAAGAAAGTGACAAAGGACTGTGTATTTTCTT